TCCTGCTGAGTTTTAATTTGCATAAATAGTGTACCTTGCTCTAAGTCCAGTCTTTGCTTAAAGATTGAACACGGAATAGAGTAACCCTGTGCACAGCAGCTACTCGTGCTCACTGACCTTAGCCCGCCAACATTTCTGTGATGAGCAGCGCCTTCCGTAAATACGTGATGTTTGACAAGCTGCTTCAGGCTGATTAGCTGTCTCAAAACACAAATAGCAACAGGAATTAAGAGTGAATTAATACTTTGAAGGCTTATGAGCAAAAAGTACAATGAATGCTGCTAATTAAGGCATTCCTCCCCACGTTCTCTATATGATTATTAACTTACACATGAAGAAACTGAGACAGGAATCCTGTGATTTATCCCAGGCCACATGAGATGGTGGTGGTAGAAATCTGATTAGTGCCTTGGCCTGCCTCGCATCAGGCACTGTGCGAGTTCATCGTATTGCTAGAAACAATCGTATTTTGAAAAACAAGGCAGTGTGAATCTGGGACCTAAGTATTTGTTGTCAGAACTTTCAACAGAGAATTTTGGTCTATCCCTTGGCAAAAGGGTGTCTTTTCAGTTGGTTGTAGCTAAATTTGGAGCTATGCAGGTTTACTGCAGGTACTATTTGTTGGAAGTAAAGCAGTGGTGTAGCCCATTCACCCATTCAGTGTATTCTATAGATTTCAATATCTGCTGAAATACCACAGGAATACTCTTTTTAGAATTTCAGACTCAAGAAAACAATTTGACTTGGTTTTGACCAGTGCTGATAACTGAAGATAGATTATTTCTGAAGCAGAGATTGCCATGTCTGATGGATAGCATGGTATAGAATCCAGTCAGTGTGGTGTTGGGATGCTTTGGGGTTTTTTTGTGGGGTTTTTTTTTTTTTAATTAAGCTAGCAAAATCGGACAGCTTGTACTCAGTTTTAATTGTGACTCCCTTTTTGTTTATTTTCTAGCATCTTTTGCACTGACCAGATAAGCTATTCACATGCGTTCATACCTCACACCCACCCCCCAAAGTTCCTAGCACGTTAGGATTTTGACAGGCAGAGGGCTTTGGTCCTTATCACTTGTTCTGAGGTGGCCTTTAATGGCAAAATATTTTGAAATCTTAAATCCAAATAGAAAGCTGAAGGAAGACTTCTTTCCCATACCTGTGCTATATTTCAGATTGCCATATGCAATGGACACTGATCTCAGTTCCCAGGACAGGAAGGACCTGGACAAGTTCATCAAGTTTTTTGCTTTAAAGGTAACTTTTTCTCCTGTGGGAAATTTGTCTCTTCTTTCCTGTTTAAGAAAAGCTATACTTGGTGTGGCTAGAGTAACAAGGCTGAGGTTTGTGGGGTTTTTTTTGTTTTTGCTAAAGACCCAAGCAAGAAAAGCTGATGTCAACTTTAGGAGATCCTTTGAATAACTAGAAAAACATATTTTCCCCTTTTTCTACCTTCAAATCCTCTTCCTTCCCCACAAGCATCCTGCTGTAGAATCATTTACAGGCACTTCATACCTCTGTCAGCTTTGGGCTCCTATCAGCACATCTAACCATCCAGCTGTTAGGTAGTATCTTCTGTTGGACTCCACTCTTTCTTTTCAGCCTATCTAAATTTTTATATTGCATCCAAAAGCAATAATAGCAGAATGTTCTTTTGAATTACTTTGATATGCAATTATAAAATTTGGCGACCCTTGGTACATAGATGCAAGCAGATACTCCCAACAATGGCTGCATTATCAATGTACAGATTCACTTGACTTTCGTTTATGTGTCCAGGTTCAGGATACAGTTGTAAATTTTGTTTCAGTATTACTGAAAATTGCAACTCCTGATCACAAAATTGACTTAGTCACCTCACATTATTACAGAGAAAAATCAGCCTACAATGATTTTCTGTCTGAAATACATTTACCTGTTATATGTAATAATTTAAATTGATGAGACCTGAAGATTAGTGTAGCAAACTCTACTTCCCTACATACTGGTCAGCCCTTTAATTTTTTTTTTTCCCTTGGAATTTGTCTAGCTCAGGTTCTGAACTGAGGACTTGGCTGAGCTCAGAACATGAGTATGTATCTTTTTCTTTCTATTCCAGACGGTACAAGTAATTGTCCAGGCCCGACTTGGAGAGAAAATCTGTACCCGATCATCATCGTCCCCAACAGGCTCTGACTGGGTAAAGTCATGTTTTTTTAAAGCAACTTCATAACTGTTGGGGTTTTTTTTTTTGTGTGTGTGTTGAGAACACAATGCAGTTGTTACAGTCTTGTACAGACAATAATAATTATTCATAGAATAACTACTATATTCAACATGTTCGTTGGTGGTGTGGTTTTTTTGTTGTTCACACTCAGCATGTCACTCTAGGCTCTTAAGGGCTGATTAGAGAAGAGATAAATGGTACCTCTCAGCAAGTCCTGCCAGCTAAGGTACATTTCCAAGATCTGCTGGGGGTGGGGTGATGAGTTCTTTTCTGACAGAAGCTTGTAAGGACAAACCGTGCAGTTCAGGACTTTGTAGTAATGGGCTTTATTAAAATTGAAGAGACTTAGTATACTCTGTGGATGAAGACAGGACTCAAGCGAGGGGAAAATTATTATGTTATTTTTATGGCAGGATCAAGAAAAATGTTTGAATTAGCAGCCAAGGAAATGTTTGCAAATATGAAAAGCCTAAGCCCGTCTGGGAATTTTCTGTTTCATATTTCAGTGGACAGTGACCTAGTATGTTATATATGGGTCCATCAATCTGTCTGCAGTATATCATTAGGCAGTTTTTCAAAGAATAAAAATAATAATAAAAATGGAATAATCTTTCATTCTGCAGTTCAATTTGGCAATCAAAGATATACCAGAGGTTACTCATGAAGCAAAGAAAGCCCTGGCAGGACAACTACCCGCTGTTGGACGGTCTATGTGTGTGGAGATTTCTCTCAAAACCTCAGAGGTGAGAGCTGAGTCAAAGTAGATGCCATTTTTTTTTACTTGAGTCTTAAGTCACCTACCAGAGCTCTTGCCCTTTAGTCCAAGACAATGTGAATATATCTTAATTTCTGAAGTTAGGTAGTATGCTAGTGAAAATAAATATATTGTTTAACAGAAGCAATTCACTGCAAATACCTGAGGCCAAACACACAAATGATAGAGCAGCACAGTTTAGTTTCCTACCCTATGAAGAACTTAACCATTCTGAGGACTTACTCCCTCAGGTGATCTAATTGTGCAGTGACACTTCCAGTATACCTTTTTCTACTGTTGCACTACAAGAAAGTGAGAGCCAGGAGAAGCATCTTCATTGGGAAGTGTGGCTGGTGCTGATCATTAATGAGATGTGAAAAGGTTTGTGTTCTGAAATGAGCCTTTTTTTGCCATCCTTTTTGTGATCCAGGGGGACTCCATGGAGCTGGAAATCTGGTGTCTAGAAATGAATGAAAAGTAAGTGCATTCTTCACACTTTCTTTGTGTGTATTTGTTTTAGCTAATGAAATGGGGAAGCGTGCTCCATCCAAGGTGATGAATGAGCACATATTGGCTGCATGGCCTGCAAGTCTTCAGAGGGAAGTCCCCTCTTTGTCTAGTGCAGCAAACTATTTAATATTGGTGTCAAGAAAAACAACTAGTAATTTTATTCCTTCTTCATTCTTCCATTACAACTACTATGCTTCCTCAGATACAAGAATTCATATATGCAGTAGCAACAAATGTTTTTAATACTGAAAAGATGTTTCTGTCCAGTAGAAGGCTCCATGGCATTTTTCAGCAATTACTTCTACAATGGGTGACTAGATTGAAGTAGGACTCTTAACTGGTTGGTCAGTAACAGGTAGCCACACCACAGCTTTCTTTTATCATTTTGGCAGTAAAACTGACATTAAACAATTGGCCCAGACTAATTTTTATTTTTAAAAATGTTTAAAAACCTAAACAAACAAAACCAAACAACTTAGTTGGGAACAGAAGACTAATTTTTTCCTTTGTGTTCTATAGGTGTGACAAAGAAATCAAAGTTTCATACACCGTATACAACAGGCTGTCTCTACTGCTGAAGTCTTTGCTTGCTATAACCAGGGTAACTCCAGCCTACAGACTCTCAAGGAAACAAGGCCATGAATATGTAATACTGTACAGGTAAAGCAGAATATGAAATTTCCCATTTGAAATACAGACAGCAGACACTCTAGATTTGCACAGTACAACTGCAAATGTGGTAAAAAGGGATGAGTGATAATAAATTCAAATTATTTGTATTTAACTACTATGGATCAGTGACAGAAGAGACCTTTGGGCTATACATCACTTTACAGCCTCCATCTGAGCCATTGAAAGAAAAAGTAAGCACAGGCTGTGAAGTATTGTTGTTTGCCTACCATGTTGAGAAGAGTACAAATATTCTACATGCGAGCCATGCTTAAATTTCTTATTAGCATCCAGTTGTTTAGTGTCTGGTCTGTATTTGATAGATGCCTATGTTGCACATAACTGCAGTGCATGCTTTTGCAGTATAGATTCAGACTCTCCTGCTATTCCATTTTAAAGATGCACCCTCAGCTCTACTTCCTGTAGTCCTTGCAGTTTATCATCCCACTAGTGAGTTCAACTCTGCTTAGCCTGTGAGATTGACTGGTTTGTGGTTCATGGTTATCACTTTCCAGTCTTCATTTCTGGCTTTGAGAAAAGTCTTTGACGTGTTTGCATAGCTAATTTAGATTATTCTAAATCTCAGGTTTGTTACCATTTGCACAGCTAAGAACTTAAAAAGTAACCCCAGCCATTTCTTCATTTTTGCCTCCATTCCTGATGTGGCATACACTTAAGGGCAGGTTTCTACAGAATGGTTAATCTTTTATATTGTGTGATGAGTATCAGCTTTTAGGCTAAAACCTGTCCATTAAGTTTATATCACTTCACATTTTTTGCTCTGAACTGTAGACTTGCCACAGAGGCTTAAAAACTTTTAAGAGAAATTTCTGATTAGACTACCATTTTCTCTTCCTTTTTCTTTTTTCGCAACATGTCTTCCTCTGAAGTAGCTGGAAGACATTTTGAGATGGGCATTCTAGCCACTTCTCATGGTTTGTTTTTTTTTTTTCTCTAAAGAGGAAAAGTAGTTCCAGCCTTTCAACTCATAAAAATTAAATAAGGAATAAAGATATGTATAGCATTATGTCCCAAATGGACCTAATACCTTTTCTTTTTACTTTTCCTGCAGGATATATTTTGGTGAAGTACAACTGAGTGGCTTGGGAGAAGGTATGATTTAAGCAACACACAAAATCTAGAGCAGAACTATTTTCCATACTGGCTTAGCCACTTATTATTGTTCCTAAGTGCCATAAGGAAAATTAAGTCTGAGGTTTACATATGCTTTTTATCTGGATCTGCCAGTGAAGGGTTGTGTCATAAGGTGACAAGTACAATGGTGGTACTTTAACAAATTCTAGGGTGATTGCCATTTTGACTCTAGTGATCTAGAACTGAAATAAGAATATGGACATATGTTGATAAGGGGCAGGACTGGTAAACAAGATCATGATCTACTCAAAAACAAGAAGTCCTTCAGAGCAATATTTTAGACCAAGATAGGAAGCAACATCCGAAGTCTTTAGATGAATCCTACCAGCAAGGTAACCTAGCGCTGCTGTTTTGTTATGGGTTCTATATGCGTCTTTGGAGTTTAGATGGCAAGGGATAACAGAAACACTATAGAAATGTGATAATGTAACCTCAGAATAGAAAGGTACAGAACATAAATAATCAGTGAAACTGATAAACATTCCTTAACCTTATAGGTTTCCAGACAGTCCGTGTTGGGACAGTGGGTACCCCAGTGGGCACCATCACTTTGTCTTGTGCCTACAGAATCAACCTCGCTTTCATGTCAACCAGGTGAGAAAATGTGATCATGCCAGAAATTGTTTTACAATAATGTACTATTAAACCCCTCATATTATGAGCCCCTATATCTTTCCCTTCTGCTTATCCTTTCCTGATGAGATTCTCCTTCATGGAGAATATTCTCTCTCATGCTTAAGTCTTGCAGCAAGGGGAATATTTGGGCAGCCCCAAGCCAGACTCTAGAACTCCAAATTGTTGATGCATGCTTGGAGTTGCAGGGCTGAATTGTAACGATGCTCTGGTCCCATGAACAGACACAAGGGTTTTCTGTAAGAGCACCATGAAATCGGATGAGAATAGAAAGAAAAAGCTAATAACACCATTGCTTGTTGCCTTGCAGGCAGTTTGAGAGGACCCCTCCTATCATGGGGATTATCATTGATCACTTTGTGGACCGTCCCTATCCCAGCTCTTCACCCATGCATCCCTGCAATTACAGGTGAGGAACTACTGAGTTGAAGTCATGGGCCATGGTAAAGGCATCAGTTATGCCCAAATACAGAGCCTTTTCCACTGTTAGCTGACTGCATGGGAATGGAGACTGGAGGATTAGTGTCAATCATATTGACATGGTTGAGCATATGAGGAAGGATGACATCTTTCTCCTCACATCTAAGTGACTGAGTGTAGCAAGCCCCAGTATTTTCTCAAATTCCTTACAGAAGCACTTAGACACAAAGGATGTTTAATCTAGGTTGTCTTTGGGAATTTGAAAGTGTAACAGTTAACCCTCTATAGAGCTATGTGTCCAGAGGAATGCATCTCCAGATATTTCCCCAGGGGAGAGATCAGAGTTTAATTTCTGTTTGTAGATCAGAGGTGTGTCTTCTCTAAAATGCATGTGATGACACTCAGGTTGGGACCAGTGGTATTGTTTGACAGTGTTTTTTTTAAACACCAAAGCCAGTAGCATTAGCTGGTATAACAAAACCTTTAGTTAAAAAAACAGAGGAAAGTGTTGTTGCGATTTGGGGGTAGAAGAGGAGCGCCTGGAGAAAATTCAGGTTTTCATACCTTGTTTTCCTCAGTTCTGCCAAGTAGACGAGAGCCTTTCATAACTCTTCTTTCAACTCCACCCAAATACTCTCAACCTTCCCTGCAGTATTGGTCCCAGTGTGTTTTACTATTTATTTAAGGAACATTTCCAGTTAGAAAGCTTTACTTTTCTTGCTGCTTTAGAGCTGGTGAGGACAATGCTGCAGTATACCCCTCAGTAGAAGATTCCCAAGAAGTGTGTACCACGTCTTTTTCCACCTCTCCTCCATCTCAGGTAATATTAACCAGGCTCTTTTTACTCCTAGATAGAACAATCCCTGTTAGGGTAGTGTGCGGCCTCCTGCTGCTCATTAAAATTTAATGCGTGGGTTATTTATATTGTTACACTCTGACTAAAACCTAGTTAGAAACTAATGTCAACAAAATGCTAGGAGACTAGGACTGAATTACTCAAAGATTCAAAGAGCCTACTCCTGTAGCTGGGCTGAGATGTGCTTGCAGAGGATAGCAGTGTACTTATGCATTCACATACGGTACTGCAAGAAGAGGAATTCAGAGATGGATGCCAGGTAGCGTAAGTAGAGGTAACAGATTGACACTAAAAGAGAAACACTGGAATACCAGGAAAATGCTTATAGCACAGTCATATTTTCTGCATTGCAGAATGGAAAAGCAGGAAAAAGACAAAAGCCGTATTTGTTGAACCATCTAGATGGTGAAGCAGGAATAAGTATCTGCAAACAAATTGGGTCACAGTATTGAACTAGGGACTTAATACTCTGTGCTTCCATCTACCCAGGCAAATTTAAGTTTCAATGTTAAAATAAACAGATCATTTCCTTCTGAATATCAAAAAAACAAACTTGCAATTCCTTCATCTTTTACTGTCCTTATATATTTGACTCCACAATTTTGTATTTTGAAGACTTGTCCAGATTTGCAGCTGTCCTATAGCTTTAAATATTCAGGAATGTCCTGTCTTGTTGTCCAGCCAAGCAGATAGCTCTATTGATCTTTAAAGACAATCTAAAGACTCTAAATCCCTTTTGCTGTCAATGTAAAACATAAAATGAAATATAATTGGAATGCTGTTCCAAACTGAAAGAATTTGCTATGGGTCTTCCCACTGCCTCAGAGGAACTAGTATGACTGGTTAAGTAGAATGTATTCTGCTGTGTGAATAAGCTAGAAATGAGCTTTTCTTAGGAAGCATTTTTGTGCCCAGTGGATTTTGGGTGACAGGACATCAGGCAATGTTGAACTAATCAGCCCAGCACTCATGGTAAGTCTGATGGAATAAAGCTTTTCTTATTCTGCAGTGCACAGCTCAGGACATGAGTTTGTGGCCAAGTTGTGTCCTGCCTTTTCACAAAATGGGTTAAATGCAAAAAGTTTCATAAGGAAATTTCCATTGGCTTGCTCATGCCAGTGTTACTTAACAGCCGTAGTGTATGAAAATACATTGAAGTTGACATTTCCCCAGGGGACATGAAGCTTTGCTGTCACTGAGGGGAAAAGCTTTATGAAACCAGATGAACCTTGAGGATTCACATTAAGTATGAGCCTACATTCTTGCTTTTCCTGTGGCCCATAGTTGCCATATGCTGTGCACTTATTTATGAAGTAACTGCCAGTCTTTGTTACCACAGTTCAAATTGTAAGGCTGTCTTGGCAGAGTGGTCTCTAAAGTAAATTAGAATGGGGGGAAGGGAGGGGGGGGAAAAGTTTTCTTTCTCCAGCTTTCTATATACAACTTAATGTGTAGGAAAATATCATGAACTGTGTGGTTCTGTAGGCAAATTCTCCAAATGTCTGCCTGCCTTCTCAGTAGAAATGAGGCCTAACCTGCCTGATATAAAGGAATAGGTGTTAATTGCTCCCCATGAGCTTGCACAGCACATCTGTGTGTTGTGGAGTAGCCCAAAACTCAGAAGAAAGTCTGACCATAGGTAACACCCAGAAATCAAGGTTTCCTAAAACTGTTGGTAGGAGAATGACTGGGAGAAGGTATGGGACTGAAGCAAGTTTGGATTGCTGTTCTTGCATTAGTACCCTCTGTGAGACAGGGTTTACTTCTGGAGCATCACTCCTGTTGACAGAGTTCTCTTCACCTCAGTGTGTTTGAATGGCACCTTATTCTGGGTCCTTTATTCTAAGGGCAAAGCACAGACCTGCCAAGATATGATCCCTCAGAATGCTGGAGGATTAAGAGTATGGATGGACAGTATTGAAATACATATAATTTGTACATTCTGGAAAAAAAATTCCTCTTGGCTTTTTCTGGCATCCCCTCAGCCTTCTCCTTGCTAATTGGCTGGTACCAATTCTAATTAGCTGTGGAACAGAGTCTCTGGCAGTTACTTTCTGTCAGTGGTCACTGGAACCTAAAGTATTACTTGTGTTGAGTGGTTCACTGAGATTGGAAAACAGTCTGTTCTTTACAAAATAAATGTGCTGAGTACTGAGACTTCTGCTCTAGTGTAGGTGTGGCTGCTGCAGCCCAAACCTCTTCACTAGCATTCAGTTCATCCAACTCTTTATAGTTCTCCTCTGAAGTCCTTCTCTCTCTTTCTCTCTCCCCCTCTCTCACTCTCTCTTTTTTCCTTGTTTCCTCTGTGTGTATGTCTCTGTGCACAGTGTGTTTTTACTGTCACAAAGGCACATTTTCAGACCCCTCCTCCTGTGGTGACGGACACCTTGAAGGTCCCAGTGATGGGACTGGCCTTTTCACATCAAGTGAGTTGTCAACAGAATATGCTATACATGGCCAGATAAAGATCCGGCCTGACAGAGCAAATACAGGAAAGTACAAATTTAACAGTGTGGAATGTTGTGCATGGGAAAGGCTGGTGAACCCAAAATGGGCCAGGCACATTATTGAGACCGGCTGCTTAAATGCCTTTGCAAGTGAAGGTCTCCCAAAGACAGAACAAGCTCCCCTAAATAAAAAACAGCTGTTGCAAGGATTGTTAGTGAAAGACAAGTAGCACTGCATATTGCTCAGTGTTTTCTCTTAATAGCTGCTATCCTTAGAACCTGCACAGCCATTAGTGCTCCATTCAGCTTAACTAGCCCCATGTGAATAAAAGTGCTGTTCATCATTCAGACCCCTGTAAATGATGACAGCATTGGTGCTGCTGAAGTGTCACACACAGAGCTCTGACTTAGACTTAGGCTCAGACTTAGTCCCCTGCAATAAGAACTTTTTAGAGTAATAACCTTCACTATTAATTCCAATGAAAACCTAGCATCCTTCTGCCAGCCTGAAATACTGTGCTGTGCCTCTGACTTTCGCTGTTCCTTCTTCAGTGACTGATGATTATTCAGACTGTGGGGCATTCTCCTTCCCCTTCCTCTCTCCTCTCCCTTTGCCCTTCTTGTTTTTTCTCTTCTTTCTTAGCTTTCCAGCTCTCGTCTTTCCTATCAGCCTGCTGCCCTGGGAGTTGGATCAGCTGACATGGGGTATCCTGTGCTCTTTGCTGGTGGCTTGAACGCTGCACACCCCCACCAGGTACTTGTAGAGGGTAGAACAAGCATGGCTGGTGTTGCGACCATTTGTGTCACTTGCACATCTGAGAGAGGCCTTGAAACTAGTGCATGCGTTGGTATCCTGTCTTTCAGGAGTGAAAAGAGTGTAAAGGATATATATAGAAAGCACAACTTCCACAGGAGCTGGGAATTGGCTCCTCAACATCCCCAACTTTACTGGGGTAGGGATCACATGGAAACACTACACCAAGAGAACAGGCACCAGACCTGTTTGCCTGCACCAGCATGTCACCAGTTCCAAACATCGGCTGTCTTACAGAACTGCTGCCCAGCACTGTAGCCTAGACATAGGATATACACTGACAGTCATATCGTCATCTTTGCACCCATTCATCAGACAGATAAGCAAAGCTGACTGAAGTCTTTTTCTGCCTGTGATGTTGCTGCTACACAAAGTTTTGCTGACGCAGTGATGGTAAAATAGAATAGACTATTTCAGTTGGAAGGGACCTACCACAATCATCTAGTCCAACTGCCTGGCTGAGTCAGGGCTGACCTAGATAAAGCATGTTATTAAGGGCATTGTCCAAACACTGACAGGCTTGGGGCAACAACCATCTCTCCAGGGAGCCTGTTCTCGTGTTTGACTACCCTCTTGGTAAAGAAATGCTTCCTAACATCTTGTTTAAACGTACCCTGGTGCAGCTTTAAACCATTCCCACACATGTTATCACTGGGTACCAAGGAGAAGATATCAGCACCTCCCTCCCCACTTTCCCTCCTGAGAAATCTGTAGAGAGCAATGAGGTTGTAGCAAGAGGACATGATTTTTTTTTTCCTTTGTCTCCTTGAAGCAGAGAACCTATGGCTAGAGAACTCTGCAGTCATAAAGTGGAGAGGAATGGAGTAAAAAAAAAAAAAGAGTTTGCATTGTGGTGGTCACCTTCTACTTGTCACCTCTTTTAGCTGCATGGGGGCTAGAGCCCAGTCACATGCCAAAAACCCCACAACTTAGTTGCAACGTGATGGAATCTGCTCTATATTGCACTGTGGTGTTGGCCTGATTTTGAGATCTCTAATTTGACTGTTCCTTTCCATCTCAGTTGATTGGTCCAGGCAAAGAGGGGGGAGTTCCCCCAACTCCTAGCCAGCCAGCACATGGCACTCAAGCTGACCAAGAGAGGATGTGCACCCCACTGGATGGAGTCCACTACTCAGCTGCTACTCCTTCTAGTAGGTAGGTTGGTTTTAGATGATCCACCACTTGTGATAGCCCATTTGTAATCCTGTAAAATTTTGGTTTCCCCTTTTTATCTATTGTTTGTAGCACAGATACTGTCTTTCCATCCCCAAAAACAACTAGCAGCTTTCTCTGATTGGGGCTTTTTCAGCCTTTCTCCAAACAATGATCTTGCCCATCTACTTACACCTGCTAGTCACTGTAACATCTTTGCAACTTCTGTTATGTCGACTTTACTATCAATTTTATCTTATTTTAATCTGTTTTTGCTGACTGTAAAACAACAAGATGAAGTAAGTTCACAAGTGAGTCTTGAATTCTCCAGAGACTTAATGTGAATTGTTACCAAAACCAGTTGTAGTTTCTGCTAATCTGTTCACTGGCTTAGTAAGAAACTTGATGCACAGAGTTACTTGAAAGGAAACAATGCAACCTCAAATTGTCCTAAATCACCTCCCTCTGAGCTAATTAAATCCTTCTTTTTTTTTTTGTCACCACATTTATTTCTCATTAAGTCTCTCTTGGGGTCACGTAATTCTAAGTCAAATATCTTAAGCAGACATATTGCTATGAGGACACCAAAAATCATAGTTTCATGAGCAGTTTCCTGGGTATGCTATCTAAGTAGTCCTCTTGCCAGAAGACTCAACCTTTTTTCTTTTGTTTTAAAGTTCTGGATACTTATATGAAAAAAAAACAGCTCCTAGAAATAACTAGTAGTCATGCAGTGAATTAATCATACTGGCAGTGGCTGTTGTGATGTATGAGACTGCTACCTTTGTGACCTGAGTGACAGATGCAATTCTAGTTCTTGTCCTTACCTGTGACAACTGTATTACTGAAAAAAATAATAGTGATAAACAGGAATTGCTGTGAACATGAACATTCTGAAGTTAAAAGTCCATTTCCAAAAAGAAAAGCCTATTTCAGTTGGCATCAGCTTTTCATTCAACTAAGTAGTTTTCATCCAGCTTTAAACAAAAATCTCATTCCACAAGTGTCCCACTCCTCTTTTGTGTTCATGACTGAGGAGGAAGGTGTGGTATGAGGACAGATGTTTCTGTTGTACTTCTTCCAATACTAGAAGTAAACCCAGAAAAATGAAGGAGTCTTGTAAAGTACATGATTTGTCTATATTGTTTGTGCCCCAAGTAACTAATTAGTCTATTTTCCTCCCCAGCGAGGACACAGAAACAGTATCAAACAGCAGTGAAGGGAAGTGTAGCTCCCCACATGACCTTTTGGAGACCATCTTTATCCGGAAGGTGGGAGCTTTTGTCAACAAACCCGTTAACCAGGTAACTAGCAGATCTTATCATAGCACCATAATACCCTGCTTCTCACATCTGTTCCTACACAAAGGAGCAAAAAGCACGTGAACAAGCAACCTGGAGACTCAGAGTGCATAGTCCTGCTTGCTGCATTTCCCTACAGCATCTTGTCAGAGGCTTGTTTTCATAAAATGCTTTTGGGATGTGACAGCCACTGAATTTGCCCCACTTTGCCAACACCCTGTTTGGATATAGAAGACTTGATACTCTGCTTAGGTCTTACAATAATCTGCCACTACCACAGGTTCATGAAGGTGGCAAGCCTCCCTTCCTTGAAGGGACGTTCAGTAGACCAATCCATCACTAGTAAGTAAGTATTTTAAGCTCAACTAGGGCAGCTTAGAGATCTGCCCAGTTCCTAGGGCTGTTTTTTTAGGCTTTTTGGATGGATGAAGAAGAATTTTTTGAATTTGTAGTAGTTTGTTAATCTTTGCCTATATTACACAAGATGTATATAAGCAATTCCACCTCAGGGTATGTGTCTGCATTAGGTCAGCTGAGGCCAATCTCCCTTTTATGCCTTTTAAATGAGGTTATCAGCCTCCTACCTAACTGCTGATGTGATCTTAGGCAATTTTTAGCAGGCCTAACAAAGACTTTAAATATCCTTTTCTGTGCTGGGTAAGCAGAGCATCTTAGTGAAATTCTGTTTGCTGAATCTCCTCAGGTGACCATGGCCAACTTAGACATTCCTTTTGCCATGTTTGCTCCCAAGAATGTTGAGCTGGAAGATAACGACCCCATGGTAAGCCTCTTCCAGAGGTATAATATGTGCCTTCACAGCATCCCTTATGCAACATCCATGCTATTCCCTACCTTGAATACACTTTGTTTTTTGAATAAAGAACTAGTTATTCAGATTTGTTTGGTTTCAAGAAATCTCCTGTGTTGAGTTTTGGGCTCTCTAGACATGCAGATAACAGTATGTGTTCACTGCCACTGCCCCCTGTGTTTATTATCCAACCTCCTAACTGCCCCTAGACTGTCAAAATACACAGACAGACAGATATAATCGTAAGATCTGTACTCACCATCTTTGATTTCTTGGCAGGTCAATCCTCCTGACTCCCCAGAAACTGAATCTCCTCTACAAGGCAGCTTACGCTCAGATGGCTCCAGTGGCAGCAGCACAGGGAACACCCATGATGACTTTGTTATGATTGACTTTGTAAGTGTCCTCATCAGTGCTGTCACCTGCATCTTAGATGGGCTTCAGGTGCTGATACAATAGCAAAGGATGTAAGAGTAGTTTTCAATGGGGGTGGAAAAGACCCATGACTCTCAGCTCCAAACTAGAGCTTGACAGTCCCAAAACTGCAAAGACACTACTACTCAGAACCAATAGCTACAAATGAAATACTCTTTCAGTTCCCTACCAACACCTGGGCTTGGCATCCTCTCTAATCCTTAAAGGAGCCAGATTCCAAGGAAACGCTCTCTTCCAGTGCTTAGACAAGCACAGATCATGGCTGTTCTTCAGTTATTTAATCTGCATTATTGCAGCAACAGTTGTAATGCCAAGATGTTTACTGAGAGCAGGTAATAATTTTACCTGAGATTATGGAAAAAGGGAAGCCAGCGTCTTTGAATGGGAATTAACAGCAGTATCTTTGATTCTAGAAACCAGCATTTTCAAAAGATGACATTCTTCCAATGGACCTGGGGACGTTTTACCGTGAGTTTCAGAACCCCCCTCAACTCAGCAGCCTCTCCATTGACATTGGAGCACAGTCCATGGCAGAGGATTTGGTATGGAACCCTGAAATTCCTGTTTGTGGGAATTTTATGTACTTTGTAAAGGTCTCTCTATTTCTAGTTTGAAAAAAAGTCTTATCTTCATAGAATAGTTTGGGTTGGAAGGGACCTGTAAAGGTCATCTAGTCCAACCCCCTTGCAATGAGCAGGGACATCTTCAACTAGATCAGGTTGCCCAGAGCCCCCGTCCAACCTGCCCTTGAATGTTTCCAGGGATGGGGCATCTACCACCTCTTTGGGCAACTTGTGCCAGTGTTTCGCCACCTTCATCATAAAAAATTTCTTCCTT